TATGACCACATATGACCGTATATGACAGCTTATGACGATGTATGACAGCGTATAACGGTATGATCGCGAATGACCATGCATGACAACTTATGACCGCATATGACCGTGTATGACCGTCACAGTGCATAATCGCTGCCTTTTGCTTCCTCCAGGTGTGCTCCAGGTTTCTATGGCAACCCCATGGTGATCGGCAGCACATGCCAGCCATGCCAGTGCCACGGCAACACCGATCCCAATATGCTGTTCAGCGACTGCGACCCGCTGGCAGGCGTGTGCCGGGGCTGCATGCACAGCACCGCTGGGGCACACTGCGAAACCTGCGCGCCAGGTTTCCATGGTGACGCCATCGACTCCAAGAACTGCACCAGTAAGAAAGTCGGCTCCCGGATTATGGGATTGAGCCTTTTTTTCCATTCATATTTAATATGCACTTTTGAGAGTATTTTGGTTTTTGCCACTTTCAGCAACCCAGTTATTTTTTCTTTGATTTTACATTTATTTGTTGTATTTTTGTTCCTTTAAGTTTTAATCTACGTTTCTTGTAAAATTTCTTTCATTGATTTATTGCCTTTCAACATTTTTGATTTTATAGTTATTTGAGTTTTAGTGTCATGGTAACGAAGCCGAGCTGTGTTTTGTGCGTATGAAGCATCTCGCTCTCCGGTCACTCGGTTCATCATGCGGCGTTCCTTCTTCGTTTACCCAGGATGCAGCTGCTCTCCGTGTGGCACTGCATCATGTGACCCCCACACAGGGCAGTGCCACTGTAAACCCGGTGTGACTGGGGCCCAGTGCGATCGCTGCGAGGTGAGTGCATGCGCCCGTTTACGCGGCATGGCCAAGTAAGTCACGCCCACCCAACTTGACTGGAACCTCCACGCTGCCCCCTACAGGCCGGCTCGTTCGGGTTCGACTCCTGCAATGGCTGCAGGCGCTGCGACTGCGATGCGGCCGCCGCCCTCTCACTGCCATGTGACCAGAGCAGCGGGGCGTGTGCGTGCCAGCCTGGCGTCAACGGGCCCCAGTGCCAACAGTGTGCCCCGGGATACTGGGCATACGGGCCTGACGGCTGCAGGGGTGAGGCACAGGCACGAGGGGAAAGGAGGAGAGAGTGAGGGAGGCAGGGAAGGAAGGGTGGGAAGGGCGGGAAGGAGGAATGAAAGGAAGGGAGGAGAGAGTGAGGAAGGCAAGGAGGGAGAGAGGGAGAGAGAAAGAAAGGGAAGGAAGTGAAGGAAGGGTGGGAAGGAGGAATGAAAGGAAGGGAGGAGAGAGTGAGGAAGGCAAGGAGGGAGAGAGAAAGAAAGAGAAGGAAGTGAAGGAAGGGTGGGAAGGAGGAATGAAAGGAAGGGAGGAGAGAGTGAGGAAGGCAAGGAGGGAGAGAGGGAGAGAGAAAGAAAGAAAGGGAAGGAGGGAGGCAGGGAAGGAAGTGAAGGAAGGGTGGGAAGGAGGAATGAAAGGAAGGGAGGAGAGAGTGAGGAAGGCAAGGAGGGAGAGGGAAGAAATGAAGAGGACAAGGAGGGAAGCAGCCATAAAGGGAAGGGAAGGTGGAGGGCTAAGTTGATATCCCCTCAGTTAGATTCTGCATTTAACTGTATTTTTTTATTGTTTCTTTATGTCTTTACATGTTTTCTATATATACATATACTATATGGCCAGAAGCATTGGGACACTTGGCTATTACAGCCACAGGGATTGGCCCCCTTCTATATCCATAGGCATCAATGTGGTGTTGCAGCTGTACAGGGGTCCAGTCCAACCCCCTGAGGATCAGCCACACACCCTAACCCCTTACAGATGGTACAATGCAGGCAGGCAGGTAACGTTCTCCTGGCATCCGCCAAACCCAGACTCGTCCATCAGACTGCCTGACGGAGAAGCGTGATTCGTCACTCCAGAGAACACGTTTCCACTGCTCCATCGTCCAGTGGCAGCGTGCTTTACACCACTGCATCTGACGCTTGGCACTGCACTTGGTGATGTGCGGCTTGCATGCAGCTGCTCAGCCATGGAAGCCCATTCCATGAAGCTCCTGGCACAGTTTCTTGTGCTGGAGTTAATGCCAGAGGAAGTTTGGACCTCTGCTTTAGCACTCGGCGACCCTGCTCTGTTATTTAGCTTCAAGTTAGTTTCTGTTGTTTTTACTTTGCATTAGTACCACCTACAGTTGACTGTGGAATATAGCAGGGAAGAAATTTCACAAACTGACGCAAAGGTGGCATCCTATGACAGCACCAGGCTGAGCTCTTCAGAATGATTTAAGAAATATTTTCAAACCTGACTGTATGGTTAGGTGCTTGATTTTATACAGCTGTGGCAGTGGGTCTGAATGAAACAACTGAATTCAATAATTAAGAGACGTGTCCCAATACTTTTGTTCATATAGTGTGTTTCTTTACATATATTTTATTTTACTATATTTTTCATTTTGCATGTCCATGTCTCAGTAGTCATGTGTAAATGTCCTACACATTTATACTCTGCTCCTAGTGAAAGAAACTTTAATAAACAAAGAGGATGACATTTCATCTTAAAATGTAACCCAGCATGTAACCTCACTTACTCCCCCAGAGTGTAAATGCCGGACAGGGCTTTGTGACCCCCGGACGGGGGAGTGCCACTGCAGCCCGGGCCTGATGGGGAGGCAGTGTGACCTCTGCGTGGAGCACAACAGCGTCCCTGTGCTGACCGCCGCGAACTCATTGCACTGCCAGAGTGAGTGTGGGTAGCGGTGCCCCCTTCTGGCCAAACCGCCATCTGTGGGATCCTACAGCTCCACTGATACTTCCTGTGCTTTTCTGATCATTTCTCACATAGCTCTTCCGTTGATAATTTATTGTCGGCTCAGAGTAACGAGATCCTGTAACGAAAGTTTGCCTTGTGGGCGTGACCGGCGCTGGGGTGCATTCTGATTGGCTCTGGCCTCCGTCGTTGACAGGATGTGACAGCTGTGTCATCACCTTGCTGCATGACCTGGAGCGCCTGAACGACCTCTTCCAGTTGGGCGACCTGAACGTTAGCTCCACTGCCTGGAAGCAGCTGCACAACCTCAACATCTCCATTGCTGCTGTGGCTGTGAGTGACCCCCCCGTCATTTAAAAATCAGCAGTCCTCTATTTTCATTGGTTAGTTGTGTCACGTGACATGTATAGCGACTCTACATGGGCGGAGCCTGGCACACATCTCCTGGCTGTAGCGCTGTGTGGGGGCAGGGATTCAACCTGGGGGGATTGGTCCCCGGGCCCCACCGTAGGACCGCCCTCACAGGGCAGTAGGAAGGCCCCCACAGTCAGTGAACCCGCTAGGCGACGTAGGCGGCCACCTAGGGCACCATCTGCTGATGGGGGATCCAACTTAACAAACCCTCCGTGTTTCCCTGCCTGTGGAATTTGTCCTGGGGGGGCGTCACATGAGCTCTGCCTATACCACTGGTCACATGACAGGCGTGTCCTCTCCATCAGTCTCATTCAGTGTCCTCTTGTTCCCACTCTTATGTGTCATTACCTCAGGAAGACCTGGAGAAGTTTAACCAGACTTTGGATGACAATAGGAACAGGATGGACTTGCTGGAGGCCGAAGCCCGGGTTATCGTGTCGGACACGGACGACCTGGAGAAGAAGGTCAGACAGCTGAACTCCTCATGACATTCAGAGATCTTCAGGAAGGCCGTCCATCCCACGGGCTTGTGGTTTAAAGTTCACCCACTGAAAAACTTCTTTGACAGAGTTTTCTGTATTTTGACCCGGGCAGGCGAATTTGACGAGGAAGAAGGCGACCGACCTGAAACACAATGTGAACGAGACCCACCAGCGTGCCGAGGACCTGCTAAGGCACATCCAGAGCATTGTGAAAGAAATCAAAGGTGTGTGGCCATTTCAGCGTGTAAACTTGTTTGTAAATTTTCCTACGTCCATCTATCCGCACTTATCCAGGGTAACAGTGGGAGACTGGAGTCTGTCCCAGCAAGCGCAGGACACCCAGGGGACGGGATACAGCTCCATCACAGGCCACACATATAAATGTGTCATATATGTAGACCCTTATACACCCATGCAAACATGGGACGATCATGCAAACTCCACACACACAGATGGGGCAAGATGGATAGATGGACTTAATCACTTACTCACTTACTTACTAAATCAAGATCTTTTAGAAGATATCTTATTAGCCCAGATAGAAAGTAAGCTTTTAATACAACAAGCCAAATACACATTAAAGGATGTGTCCTCGTTTAATTTCCATACCTAGACTTAATAGCCCAAGCTAACAGCACATCCATGAACAAGACTGTAGAATCAGTGGAGGACCTGTCAGAGAAGCTGACCCAGGTGCAGGACATGCTGCGGGAGATGAGCCTCAAGGACTTCCAGCACCAGAAGTTCCTGGCAGACACGGAGCTGGCAGAGGCCAAGAAATGTCAGTGACCTGCTGAACTTCACCAACCTCTACTGGTTCTCCCAGCATCTGCTGCTCCTCCTGTTCTAATGATTCCTGTTGATAGTTCCTTCTTTGGCTTCTGGAGTCTTTTACTTGCAGATGATTGTGTGTTTACTTGATTGTTTTTTGCGGTAAAGAATTTTCCGATTTCCATGCATACAGCTTCGACTCTTCCTTCTCATACTGACTTCCTTTCATTTTTCCATTGTCTCTGATCTCACTCTGCCCTCCTTGTTTCCCTCCCAACCTTCAGTAATTGACCGAGTGAAGAAGGAGATTGTGAACCTGTTTTCCCGCAACGAAGATCTGGTAAAGAGCATCAGAAACAAGCTCGCTAAGTTCCACAACGAGCTCAAGGACCTGAGGAATGCCCTCAATGAAGCAGAGAACAACACAGCCCATGCAACGGAGATAAACAACATCAATGAGAAGAGGCTGGAGGACATCCTGGTGAGGGACACGGACCAGCAACTTACACGCTTGTATAGTGCAGATAAAGTACAATTCCACAAAGTTCTGCACAGATTTTGCATTGACCTACATGCTTTCGGCATCTGCGTTGCTCTTGTTGTTCATTTTTGATATTCTTTAGCAAAGAGTTCGGGATCTGCAGAGCCAGAAGAAGATGGTGGATGACCTGTTACAAATGGCAGAGGATGCTGTGACCCAGGTCAACGACCTTCTGTCCATGCTACAGGAGTCCAAGGAGGTCAGTCTCTTCAGGGGCACCAGCAAACACCTGGCTCTTACAGAAGGCAGACTAAATCATTTTCATGCAAACAACTTCCCTGGACTTTATTCCCCTCAGGATTACGAGCGCCTGGCTGCCAAGTTAGATGGAGCTCGGAAGCCTTTAGCGGAGAAGGTGCAAAAGTTTGCCCCCGCAGCAGCCAAGATCCCATTGGTGGAAGATGCAGAACAACATGCCAAGCTACTGGACGAGCTAGCCAATAACCTCACCAGGTAGGCGGGTCTTAAGAGGATTGCGAGAGGCCTCAGCCTCCAGTTTGGTCTTATCTAATTGGAAGGACTAACCAGCTGATTAGTCCATCACTCTAGTTCCTTTTGGGAAAAGCAAGAGACCTCGATCTTGGACGATGATGTATCAGGGAGGATCAGTCGCTTGTAAGCAGAGCAGCAAACTCTGCATTAGCTCAGGGTTTCATAAGAGTGTTGAACATCAATATATATAGAAACCTACTAAAAGGTTTGAGGAGCAGTCATTCATAACAGTCCTGATCAGTGCACATCTATCTCTCTTAGCATTTCAATAATAATAATAGATATTTTTTATTGATCCCTGTGGGGAAGTTCTCTTTACACCTCCTCCAACTAGCTCTCGCAGCGACCAGACATTTTTGAGGCTTAATTCCCATCATTCTCTGCGACAGTCATTCTTCAGTGACTTGTCCCTCTCTTCCAAATCGACAGCATCACCGCGGCCACAAACCGGGACGCTTTCATCCAGCGCTTGGTGAATGCGTCACGCGCCTACACCAACATCGTCAGCGCCATCCTGGAGGCCGAAGCTGCCGCCAACGCCGCCTTGTTGGCCAGCAAAGAGGCCCTGGAGGTCTGTCCGGCGTCCTGCCTGAGCCGTCATGCCAAACCGTTATGACGTCTGAATATTTTAATGGGGACGGTTATTTGAAAGAGGCGGGAAGATCTATGGCTGCCTGTCATGGTTGCTGAGGATAAAAGTATTATTTAGTATGATGTAATGCAGACACATGTGATTGTACGTGTGCCGATTTTATGGTTTTCTTAGAAGGCCTGTCTGATTGGTTTGGTCTTTTAAGACTGTGCAAGGTGAAGACCTTGCTATGCTGGCCAGCGCACTGAAGAACCAGAGCAACCGTCTTGTGGAGGAGGCCAAGAAGCTACAGGACAGGCTGAATAAAGGTGAGGCAACTGTGCCTTTGGCTGGAAGGTCACAGGTTCGAACGGAATTTCACATATGGAAATTGAGTGATCATCATTATACTAAAAAATCTGTCCCTGTTGCAGATTTGAAGCCGCAATTGCAAACCGCAAACTCCCAGCTGCGAGACATGATACGTAAAAAAGACTCACTTTCCAAGGATCTCGAGATGGTCAGGAAAAATCTCAATTTCAGCAGAGGTAAATATGACGCCTGACTTTAAATAGCTGACTTTACGTAGCCCCCACCCACGCCTCCGGACCGCCTGTCTCTGCCACCACCTCAGAGGACACCTCGAGAGACATCGCCGACGCCAAGCAGGCGGCGGAGAAGGCGAACGCCACTGCGAACCGGGTGAAAGACGAGTTACATCCCATCCAACAGCAGCTTGACGAGTGGAAGACGCAGTACGGCGACACTAACATGACGAACAAGGACCTAGACGCCGCCTTCCAGGAAGCCAATAAGTCAGGTAGTCCAGTAGAGGGGGCGGGGTCAAGGCAAGCCAGGGGCGTTATTCTAGGAAAGACATTACCCGCTGGACTGGGTCTCAGCCAATCACAGAACACATATGCAAAGACCCAGTTTAAAGTCGCCAAAGTGCCAACCACTAGTCATACACACTTCAGGGAAGGAATTGAACTCTTAACCCTAAAGGTATGAGGCTACATTGCTAGCCGTTTACAAAATTTACTTCTTATTTTATGTACAATAACTACTTATTTTCTGACATGTTCCCCAGGTCAATAGAAAAATCACATAAGTCGATAGACTGCAAATCATGAGTATAATAGGACAGTGTTTCACAACCCGGTCCTTGGGGACCACCAGGCATTCCAGGTTTTTGCTCCCTAGCCAGAAGCTGAGAGGGAGCAAAAATGTAGACTGACTGGTGGTTCCCAGGAACCAAGCTGGAAAACACTGTAGTGGGACACAGTTGTGTACAGGCAAGACTGGTTCTCGATGTGTGATATTATTGGGTATTGGCTGGTACACCTTGATGATCTAGGTACATGCAAGTTTTTGTGTAAAGGTTTTGAGGAAAGCGCCCAGATCACAGGCTGCCAGTAGGGAAAAACTGGGAAGTCATAACTAAAAGATGTGCAGAGCGAGGCATTGTGTGGAGCTGGAACTGTTGGGCAGATGGAAAAGGGGCGGAACTCTGCTCAAGCTTCTCCCCCTCCTTGTGTCCTGGTGCAGTGGGGATGCTGGCTGATACCATCCCACTACTGCTGAAGAAGCTGGACGGGCTGCAGAACCATTCGACCCAGGCGCCCAACATCTCGGAGAACATCATGAGGATCCGAGAGCTAATCGAGCAGGCCCGGCGGGCGGCCAGCAGGGTGAGGCTGCGCGGAGGCGTGGGGGCGGGGGAGAGGGAGGCATTCCCGCCCATCCCCATGGCTGGTTTGTGACCTCACTTCCTGGTTCACTCCCGTAGGTGAACGTAGCCGTGAAATTTAACGGCACCTCGGCCGTCCAGGTCCGGAACCCGGAAAATCTGGCGGACCTGGCCGCCTTCACCTCCCTCAAGTTTTACATCACACTGCCGGAGGCAAAACGGAGGAGGAGGCAGACTGAGGTCAAGAAGCAGTTCGTGCTCTACCTCGGTGGCAACAGTGTAAGTGGGCTCGGGGACGGCGCCCCGAGGTCAGGTCGGCTGCTCGTCCCTTTCCTCAGTCCAGGTCTTGCCCAGCTACTCATCCTCAGCACTTGTGAATTTATATTTTTATTTGAAGGAGTTTCCAAG